ACGCGTTGCACGATATAAGTAATCAGCACGTAAACATGGCGAAACTGATGAGATCCTAACTGCTTCATTCCACGAAGAGACATGAACAGAGTGTGACACATGGAACAAAACGGAGTGCAACAAAGTATAAAAAGACATAAATTCGTGCTTTGGGCCAAAAGTGAGAAAATTGAAGGAGACCTAGTGGAGTCGCCTGTTTCATACACTCCATATAGCCACTCATATACCACTAACGCGTTAACTGACTGTTCACCGCGCCACTCCCGGCTTCCCGTCGGTACGTAGGTGAACTTCGTATCTGCTCTGTGATCAGAGGCAGGGATCAATGTCACCATACTCCAGTGAAGACCACAAGGTGGTGACATGGAAGTCTGCCTGATGATGACACAAAGTGCGTTATACCACGTACCATACGATCAAGCATCCAGAGTATGTTTGGTTTCACTGCAGATTTCGGTACTGACCAACTACGGTCGACTTCACAGCTGTGTTGCTGAGGTTCACAGAGCGATGAGAAGAGTAGCATGCTTTAGAAGGATGGTTGAAACAGAGGAAAACCAGATTTGATCGTCCGTCCCATCGACAAATGATGAGACGTAAATAGCTGTTTCGAACCACAAATTGTCCCAAAGGGAGTCCATCGTTGTTCACGCCGCTTTGCTAAGCTTTAGTATCGCAGCGATCAGTTGACTCACCCGTGTGCTATTTTTAAGTTCACCTCGAAATCGCTTGACGTACGGGATTTCCACCGCTCAGTAGAGCGTCGAGAAAGACCATCCAGGGAGCGTGAGACTGCAACATGACTCGCCTTCAGCCATTATCTAGAACAAGCTTGTGTTGCCACCCAGTGGTCTCTCATGCAGCCACGTACGTTAATATCATTTAGCATTCAGCAAATTTCACAGACCACGATAGTCTACCACAAATGTGAACGTACGGATGGAGCGGTAGACAGTCAAAGCATTTGCTCCATGTGTAGAGAAAGGGCTGACCCCACGTGTAGTTTCCGAAAACACCACACACACACACATTGACAAAGGCATAGAGTAAAATTTAGAAAATACGTTACAACAAGAAGCCCAATAAATCCGTAACCCCAACATTATAAAAAAAATCTGATTGGGGGCCCGAGACCAAATTAATTCGCAATAACAACAAAAAGCGAGTGCCAAAATCGACGTCCCGATAAAGTACAGACGAAACACGGACGAAACATATTTTGAAAGGCAACAGCCTACCTGTGTAGCAGCCTTCTCCTAAAACAGACAGGAAAGCAAAATAGCATCGACTGCAAAGCGGGATAAAGTGTATACAGAAACCAATAAAAAAGGGAAAAACACGGATAGACAAATGCGTGCTCGTGGACTTGGTTTACCGGTTGTCTTCTCAATCGCTATCCAACAGAAGCTCTACTAAACCGCAGCTATCGTTCAATTGATTAACACCCGACGTAACTATGCGGTTTTACCGCCGAGTTTCCTAAATGCGTATGCTACCAACACAAAACGAGAAGTGCTACATACGAGAGCCCAATAACAGCATTCCCGTGAAAACCAGATTCGCTATTAAGTGTTTAAAGGAATCACCAAAAAGAAACTACAGGGTTAGCTGACCATACAAATCCATCCCACAGGGGTTCGCATCGCGGTCACATTTTGCCTCTAAACTGAGGTATGGGACCCCAATCATTTTGGTTTCAGGTAAACGTCCAATAATCTGGTGCTGGCTAATTGCCTGCTTAACACCGTTTGTCATGTGTAACCTATAACCTCATAATCTTGTCTCTATAATGATGTTCGTTCCAAAGAGGTTTTGGCTTTTAGAACAGAAGTTGAAGACTGTATAGTAGCCACCTACTAAAAAATATCACGCATTGGAAATGGGATATGCCTTCATTGATGAGGGGATAAGAAACGCATTCCTTATCACGAATTGACTGACATAAAACCAGTAACTTATTGACACGTGTTAAACTTACGGAAAGATAAGACTTTGATGCCCCAAATAATCCCAGTTTAACAGCACGAGCAGAGCTAGTATTCCTATGACTTCACTGCAGCAAAAGAACGTGCTCGCACGTGAGAAAGCTGAATGAGTTCGACATAGCCCAGTAATTGAGATGCAACCTACAGACCAGGAAGTTAATGTTTCGGACTCAATCATAACCCTGACTATGCCTGGACGGCTGACCGATAAACTATCAGCTTACTCTGGGCATGGATTATCAACTTTTGGTTACATTTCGAAGAGACAAATGTGTCTCATGATCTGTCGGTACTGTTTCTTCACAAAATACGGACGCCCTGAAAGTCGACTGCATTAGCGAAGTTGAATCCTCTGGATAGGCTGTCTGAAAGAATCGACCAGTGGCGACCCGAGATCTATTGACAGGGAATCACAAGGCAGTGAATTCCAAAAAGAGAAGGGTCACAATACAGACTACCTATGGGGACAATTGAATGGATGAACCCACGTTATACATAATAAAGTGATATTGATATTTTTACCGAGGTTCCGTCCTTTAAGTGGAGTCCACCTATGCTGAGAAGCTAGGGTATCACACGGTCGTTTTAGTTTTGTTGGGAAACACTAAGACTATACGAATGACTAGAGAGATTCAAATTCGCGGTTTTCGGGCTATCGGTTGAACACTATGGTCTGTAGGCATGCATGACAGATCAGCATTATGATTAGCGGACTTTAATGGTTCCTGTCGACCCGATCAGATTTTTTCAAGCATTTTAGTGGATTCTTAGTGAACGATTTTGGAGCTGCAAAATGAAACTTGTGGAAGAAGCAGAATAAAACAGTTACCTCGTTAGACGGACTGTAATACGCACCTTTAATTCCAATGAAGTCAAGAAAAACAAAACAAAAGCGTAGTGCAACTGTGGTGTGCTTGGACAGGTAGAGAGAAATTTGAGGTTATGCGCGATGACTGGCTGGCGAAAAGTGGACGACTGCCAACCCTCGCCGCGTAAAGATCGGGCAGGTTTACGCTATTTTATATTTGGCTCCGCTGCGCTAGAGATAACAATTTATGGTCACCATCACTCAGCATCTCGGTCGCGACTTCATGGCTTCCGCGAGCAATTAATCCAGCGTCTGGTGACAAGTCTGAGCGGTTGGCAATTATTGGATCGAGAGTGAGCATACAAGTAGATTCACCACACGGCGGTTCGCCTTGAACTGTTCCAATGTAACGTATTAATTCACCAGAAAAAACAGAAGATACTACACAAAACACTCGTATTGCTTCTGTTATGTCTTGTTATGTTATGTTATATGTTATGTTATGTTATGTTATGTTATGTTATGTTATGTTATGTTATGTTATGTTATGTTATGTTATGTTATGTTATGTTATGTTATGTTATGTTATGTTATGTTATGTTATGTTATGTTATGTTATGTTATGTTATGTTATGTTATGTTATGTTATGTTATGTTATGTTATGTTATGTTATGTTATGTTATGTTATGTTATGTTATGTTATGTTATGTTATGTTATGTTATGTTATGTTATGTTATGTTATGTTATGTTATGTTATGTTATGTTATGTTATGTTATGTTATGTTATGTTATGTTATGTTATGTTATGTTATGTTATGTTATGTTATGTTATGTTATGTTATGTTATGTTATGTTATGTTATGTTATGTTATGTTATGTTATGTTATGTTATGTTATGTTATGTTATGTTATGTTATGTTATGTTATGTTATGTTATGTTATGTTATGTTATGTTATGTTATGTTATGTTATGTTATGTTATGTTATGTTATGTTATGTTATGTTATGTTATGTTATGTTATGTTATGTTATGTTATGTTATGTTATGTTATGTTATGTTATGTTATGTTATGTTATGTTATGTTATGTTATGTTATGTTATGTTATGTTATGTTATGTTATGTTATGTTATGTTATGTTATGTTATGTTATGTTATGTTATGTTATGTTATGTTATGTTATGTTATGTTATGTTATGTTATGTTATGTTATGTTATGTTATGTTATGTTATGTTATGTTATGTTATGTTATGTTATGTTATGTTATAACTTGTAGTTATCAACCAAGTCATTCGTCTACTGAAAGGTTTGGTATGTGATTCCACGCACGGCTGACTAGGCACACAGAAAATTATTTACCTCACCACCAGTGAAACAAAAATGCACTGATTGTGCCATTAGTCCGTGCACGTTCCACTGAAACGCAAGCAGCTGCGTTCACAGCTTATCTGTTACTTCTACTAGAAATTAGGTCGATTATGGATCATGGGCTAGCAAAGCATTAAATAGTTGGCTTTGAATGAAAATCTAAGAAGGGTGGAGATAGTCTTTGAAAAGTCGAAGAATCCTCCATAGATACAACTATGAAGTAAGGTATTTGGCATCCCCTGAAAGTGCCTTTAACTCGAAGATCGCACATCAAGCCGTGACTGACTGATACAATTGGTAGATGGCCTATCCTGAGCAACTCAAAAGTGAGCAGCTGCAGCACCCTTTCGGTGCCTAGTTGCCATGCTACCTGAAGGAAGCACGAGGGCTGGTATACTGTCACGATGCCAAAGCCTAGACAGAGGAAGTCGAGAGGCAGAGGTCGGGTTCGAACCACGGACCTTCAGGTCAGTAAATTCGCGCTCTTACCACTTAGACCATCTAGCCCCCCCCCTGAGCAACTCAGCGAAGGCGAATTTCCCTACTCCCATCCACCATAAAGTGGTCATGAAAACCCTATTCGGACAACGATATCCGACGCAGTTAGTCGACAGGGCCGTCTTTGCAAAGAAGACAAATTGGCGAATGAAATGTTCTCCAAAACATGCAAGATCCAGCTGAAATGCGATTGTGAAACCAAATCCTGCGAACGATGATTTGACACCCAGTGGAACCGATATGACGTATCAATCAGTGAGTGAGCGTTGAAAAACAGATAGGTGTGAAAAACATCCGAATACATTACTACCGACAGGTCATACCAAAGTGTCCACTTACCTGTGGGATCATTTGCATAAGTTTAGCCATATCGTTTGACAGCATATCGTCCACTGCTTTGACCAGTTTCGGCTGCAAACTTGGAAATGTGCGGAAGTCATGAAGTGCGAGACATTCTTGCATTCGTTGAACATTGGGAAAATCACCCAGGGATATGTGGTGCAAGCGCGACAGGGTTTCGTACACTTTGCCCAAGTTGTTGATCAGTTCCTTTTTCTTGGCATCCTTCCCCATTATTGCGGGCATTTCATTCTTTAGATGACCAATTATATAGGCGTGGACCTATTCGCCATCCAAAAAAAGAAGATGAAGGTGAGTATTGAAGCGATAATAACGATGTTTCTTCGATAAAATTATGTAAATCTGGTCAAAAAACGAACGGGAAACGCAAACAAGCAAGGGACGGGTGGTGTTTGTCGTTCAATTTAACGCATTCTCAGAAACCATGACGAGTAAACCAACAAGAGCAGCTGAACAGTAAAAGACAAGTTGAGAAATTGATCGCCATATGGAGTAAGTGGTAAAGGGAAACACGACTGATTTTTAGGACTGTATCAAAGGATTAGAAAGCAACATTATGGGATGCAGCAGCTGTCTCTCACAAACAGACAAGGGACCACTAGGACACCAGAGAGAGAAATACCCCACCTGGTTCGTAACACGAATTCCGACCACAGTTTGAAACATACTTGACTCGTAAGTTCATTGAAAGCTCTACAGAACGCAAACTCCAGAAACTCAGCATGAACTATTAACAGGAACCGTCAAACTCCAACTGTTTCTGATGATATTCACACGAAAGTAGGAATAAGGTGGCAACACCCCGAAGAGATAAGGCTAATATATTTTTCTGCCAGTATCTGTAAGAGTCTCTATGAATACTGCAGGGAAATAGCGGAGGAAAGCAAAATTTTTCTCAACTACTTAGAAGAAGTTCACAAGTCCTCGTCCACGGACACAACTCACCGAGTGTCGCAGCTGTGGGTATGTTATGGGTAAATGGTCATGAAAAAGAGACAATTTCTACTGCATTATGTAGGCAGTAAGTTAAAATGTAAGTTAAAATGCCCCTGCGGTGTTGCAGTCTTAGCGTAAGATTCCTGCGCAACCTGATTTTGATGTTTCTTAAAATCAGATATCACATGAGTTAGATATTCCGCATGTTTAAGCTTTCACGATCAATGAGGGTCAGTCCCTTTCATTCAGATTTCGTGATCGGTGATGAAAATGGTTGGGAAAAGGGTCCGAGAGGAACCAGTTCGCTCAAAAGATCTAGCAGAACTACTCAACAACAGCTCACCTTAAGCTTAGTTTCAACTAAGCCAGACCTGTGCTGTGCACAGATGTAGACCTCAGCTGTCATGCTCCCCTAAGTTATTCCAGAATGTCGATGGTTGAACTTGGTTAACTGAATAGTATGTCCTAACGACCCGATCGACGGCTGAAGAATCATCGCCAAGCTCGCGAAAAGAGATTGTTCCGCTAGGGTTACTTTGTTACGAAGCAGCTGACATGTTGGTCTGAATAATGTAGTTGTGTGAGGTCTTTTTAACCACTTTCCACATTCTTGTTAACCACTTTTTGAGCGAAATTTCACACTAGTGCTGCTACACGTCTACTAATCGATGGTTTTTAAAGAACTTCGAACAGCCTACAGAGACCTTGCTTTCACAAGAAGTTAGCGAGTTAAAGCAGGTTGACCCTCGAATAAAAACATACGAGTGTTTCAAACTCAGAATCCAGGAAAAAAGACGTGTGTTTCAGCGTTAATAAATAAATCCTATGTCCTGGCCAAACGGAGACTTGTGATTCTGATTGGGTTACTGAAAACCTGAGGTGTACTTTGTGTATGGCTATCAGCACACAAGATATAAGTCAGATACGCCCGTCGGTAAGCATACTTTGGACAGAATCCAATGGACTGACGTGGTTGAAAACGACAAGGTCCGAATGAAATAAGGATTGTTTCAGACTTTCGAACAGAGTGAGACTCAACAATGAACTAATTCATCCTGACAAACTGCATCTCCAGACAAAACGCACATCCCATCAAGCATGGAGAGCTATCAGTAACGAGGAGTCTTCTAACGTATTCCTGTCGGTGGAAAGTAATCAAAATTAACAAGTATACTTATTTAGACAACCTGGAATCCACAATAAAGTGCATCAAATAAACCAACTGAGCTATTTGAGAACGAATCCAAGGACAAACCGTTGGCCTGTATCGTCCAATTTAAGCACGGTTCCCTTAAAAGTGCAGGACTGTGTAAGCTTCAGCGCTATATTAACACGAGCATACATAGCTGGTGACACGCTTGATGATGAACGTCAAGCTGAAATTGCGTCACAATTTGTCCTTAGCAAATATCCTTTGAGTATGAGTTACAAGGTGGTGCTGCTGTGACCCGATCTTAAGGTCAGTATGTGTCTCCTTGGACCTAACTGAAGACGGTGCGAGATACGGCTATGAACGGATACCACCAGCGTTGTTTGCTGTTAATCCTTGTCCAATTTGTCTGGCAGAGTCAAAATGTGAGCACATTAGTAATCCCATGAATAGCGAGATGAAACCCCGTGATTTTCGCATCAAGGATTTCTTCACTGCGATCCACTGTCGTCATAGAACTAAACAAGTAAAACTCACCCCTGAAATCGCTCAATTACCCACTTATTTAGATGAAAGTAGGAATACCTTTTGGTAGTGACCTACGATTACCGGTGGACTCCTACTATTCTGTGGGATCAGTTTGAAGAACAAAACTTAATTCACCTGAAGTTTGGGATATTTCACACAGGGTAATGAAGCGTAAACAAAGTGTGATCACTTGTTATCTGTCGAATTCCAAAGAACCGTTTTGGTGGCGTTAAAATGGATCTCGAAAATTTATTACTCCGGTCACATTTAAAGTTGGTCACGTAGTTCATAGGCTACTTGTTTGATTCAGCTGACAGGCTGTGATGAACCCCATGCAGATCCATGGTCACTGAAAGCCAGTCTTAGCACCGTGTATGTGTCGGTGAAGATATTCCAATAAAATTACCATCATGCCACGGCCTACCAAAGTCATCCCTCAAAAGAAAAAGTATCAATGCAAAGGAGATATCTCAATATTGCCTTGTAGGAAGACTAACTTATCGTCACTAGACCTCATTTCCTTGTTTAGCTTTTTCACTTCACTACTTCATTTAAGTACATCAGAATGGATGCACAACGGCAAAAAACGCACGGTCTGAAATATTGTTGTGCCAACGATGGTAACGATACTGGGTAATTCGTGAAAAAAACACCATTTCCGGCCCAAAGCTCATCACTTACCCACCAATGCAGCCAAAGAAGGTAATCGATTCTGGGAACAATACAGTCACTGGACAAGAATCACTGTAGGTCCATGAAGTTACTAAGATTTTAGCCACGCTGTTCTTCAACCTGACAGTAATCGCTCGAACTAACGGAAACGAGATTTCCTTTGTATTAAAGTAAACAAAAAGGAGATAGGCCTACTCCCGAAGGTCTGTTGTAATTCGAGGTAAACAAATGGTCTGGTCATCCCACTAACGCCAACAGTAAATAAACAGGATCCGATCGAAACGGGTAGGCGGATGATTCACGCTTATGTGAGAGCCCGTCATGGTTCTTACCGGTCGAAAGACCGGTCGCGCACACCTGAAACGAGTTCGGAAGAAATCTGTAGCAACAGATGCATAGACTAACATGAACCTGACAGATTCCACGCAACAGATGCCAACATAAGGCGCCCGGAGAACCTTCAACAGTAGTTGGGAAAAAGGGAGAATGGCGTTCGGAAGAGAAACACACAAAAACTTCCTGATGCTCCAAAACAACGGAGTACTACTTTTGGGATTCTGTTGTTAACCTCCGAGTAGGAAGATATGACCGACAGTCGCACAGATTCATAAGATAGTGACGCAAGTTGAGCCTACCGAGATAGATAGCTTTCACTGGGTAAGTTTGCCTTTGAAGTGTAATATATTACGCAAAAGCTCCATAAAAGTGAGCGAATCGTCACATCTTGATTTTACGATCAAATAAACAGAAAAGCAGTCCTGTAGTAACCTAACCTGACAACAATGGTCTCAACAGCAGATCGAACGTTAAGAATGAGTTAGATGCAAATGGACGAGAAAGAGATTAAACGGTAGAAAAACAGGCCAAACTAAGTAGTATAAACAGGAGCAACTGTCCCCAACCGGTAGCGGTTAGGGAGGTAGTACCAAGCTGTATGCAGTGGACATCATAAAACCTGGCGAAATGCACTCATTTGCAAACAAATTTGGTTTTGGGAGAGACACACCTGGAACCCAGCCGATCTTTCGTTTGTGAGCGGTTTGAATGGATATGGTGGCTAGTTAGCTTAATTTAGTCAAACCGTGGTTGCCACATTTGGTTCTTCGTCAAGGTAAACTCCCAACGAATAAAAGGGCTATCATCAGAAGCAGACGTTCGCCATTCGTACGATCAGCAAAATCACACTTGCCGATAAAAGCTATTGGAAATCGAGGAATGGAGCGGCTTATGATGATCCACTCGTCCACCGAAGGGAAGATAACTATCAACTGCGACAATCATCGATAAGGAGAGAAGCAATCAATTTGGACGGTGTTCACTGAGCTCCTGGTAACACCCGAGCAAAATCAGGTAAATAAATAAAGAATGCACGCGCGTGGCTAAAGAGAGGTCGTGAATAAGTACGCCTTGGTCAATTCCTTTAGCTTCAAGGTGGCAAAGATCAGAAACACGAAGCCGGTTGACGAGAAGAGTTAACTCCCTACTTGGAATGCTAACAGTAAACACAGGATAGCAAGCACACGATTCTACGTGGTTGGAACACTTGGACATCTTCGAAGTCATTAAATGAAACTGACCGGAAGTCGGTAAACTAGTACTATGCCAAAACCACTATTACACTGGCGTCAGAGTTTGTTTGGCCTCCAAATGTGATAGACAGGAGTGCATTCAAGTGCAGATTCGGACAAGAGGAGTAGCTGACAGACACGGCGGGAATTCACTTGATACCACCTCGTGCTTCAATCGTACGGATAACCTTCTTCGATAGCCAATCATCCATGTACATGCTGTTGATTAGGATACATTGTGGTTGTCCTGCTTTTCAAATATCTGCAGTGAAACTAAAAGTCTGATCCGACAAGAACAGGTTGACGGATTCGGTATGGCATTCCATTGAGACAGATGAACACGATGAGTTTCTTCGGCCTATCCCAGGAACAGGCATCGGTTCCGGGGGGACGCGCACTAGGTCCTTGTTGAGCAAGAACCCCGGTGTGGGCCCTTGAGTGTAGAATGTACTGCATCTGAAAGTCGAACATATGGCCTCACGGATCAGTCGAAAAAGTTCCTGCGCAAATAGGGGAAGGACAGTCTGCCCTGTGGTAGGTAGGATACACCTACGTTGTGACAGATAATTTAGCGGTCAAAGGTATATCTTTGCACTGTCTCCGAGTCCACTCGGTACCACCCGCGTTTTACCAGTGTTAACATTGTCTTGTCAGCCACAGTACAGTCGGCGTCGGCTTAACGGTGCACTTGAATGGTGCAAAATGATTGGAACCGTTTGGTGCTCGGTCAGTCAAAGTTATGCGAGATGCACTACAAAAACCAGATAAATCCAAATGTGTAGATGACAAACTGCTTTGTGAGTCAATTACACGGCAAAAAGTTAACGATAACACAAGCCGACATGACAGTGCACACCGCAGACTGTCCATTGGCGACAGCATGTTTTTCTATACCGGTCTAACAGCACACTTCGCCTCTCGTTGTCTTCTGATTGTTTGGAATCACGAGTGCGTTCCATAGACCACATAGGCAAAGAATGGTCCTAAAATGATGTATCTTTCCACCAAGAACTGGGTCTCGTTCGAATGTGAGGAACGGTAATGTTTCGAATTAGTGTTCTACCAATGTAGCTCAGGGTTTTCGAGACAAAAACAAATTAGCTGCCGGGTACGACCTCGGCCATAAAATCACAACCACCACCGATTTGGTTATTGTTATGACACTGGGAGGTCCACCATCAAACCTTAATACCACCCACAGGGTAACCACAACCGAGATAAACAGTTAATATGCTCCGAAACAATCGGGTGTCATGTCGCACTTGAATAAAAACAAAAGAATGGAACTGATGACGATTGAAAACCTCTCCCGGAGGAAGAATTTGAGTACCAAACAGTGCAGAGCGTATGCCATCAACTGGCGGTGAAATTTTATGAGCTGACCGGAAATCGGGCAGCTGAAAGTAAATAAGACGGCGATGGATTGAGGTCAACATCACCACACAAGAAAACACCGACCATACCGCAATGAGAAGCAATGCATTGAAAGCTGGAACCGGGTAGAATACTAGCAATCATTTGAACATCTACACTGTATGTAGGAGTCAGAAGTCGCAAGTGCAATAACCTTCTCGTCGTTACAACTATGGGCTTTAAAAATTTTGATTAACAACTTATTGTATCACACTTGAAGAGGACACGTGGGAATACGCTGTTGCCGACGGTGAAGCGAGCCCTCATTTTAGGACAAACCGTGAGACAGGAAACCGGTTGTCTATGACCTTTCAAAGTAACTCGATTAACTTTGCGTGGTGACGGAAAGGGACCAAAGTGGACAAGCCGGAAGAACCATCCTGGATCAAAGTTGTTACAGTCACTCAGTAGAGTTACCCTTGAGGAGATGACTCATTTCAAGGAACATGTACGTTTACACGTGATTGTAGCTACTCCAGAAAAGCCACCTAAATTTTGAATTGGGGCTTATGGTGAATGCTGCTGAACCGTCA